CCGACTCAGGCCTTCTCATCCAGGATGGAAATATATGTATATTCATAACACCTTTTTTTTTTTGTTTTCTTTTTATATATAGTTTGATGGAATCAATGTTCAGAATGTACAAAATGTCGGGGAAAGGGAACACTAATTCCATTCTCATGTCTCTAGTGTTCCAGTTTATACATTTGTTTTTAATTTTAAACAGATATCAGTGTTGTTTTGAGCTCTGTGGATAACATGACTTTTATGCATCCTGAAGCCGTTCTCATGTACTTGTTTTTATAAACCAGGCAGCGTGGTAGACGAGCAGTTCCACTGTCCAAACCAGCCAAAATTTTATTGTCTATCCATTTGTTTCCCAATTTTTTTTTAATTTTTTTTTTTCAAGAAAATGGGCAATAATGTCAAATGTGCTATGCAGCCAGTATGATTTCCAGTTTCATGATTGAATTTATAAATTGTTTAAATGCACACTGATTTGTATATAGATTTCTTCTATATATGGAAAATTAAAGAGAGAAAAATGTTGTGGACTGGATTTTCTGCTTTTATTTCTTTCACGTGTATTTACTTTTTGCATTTAGTACTTGTTACATGTTGGCATATTTACTACTTGTCAGCCCTTCAAAAATGATTCTTAAAATTTCTACCACATCCATGAACATAATTCAAGACCAGCTAGGGGTAAAGGCCAGTTAAAATGGGGAATTTAATTTTCTCTATCGCCCATTGAGGGACACCGATCTGAAGAATTCTGAGAAGTAGGGATATGCTGCGGAATGGAAACTAGGCAAAAAATTAAAAGCCTGTCACTAAGATCACAACCCCTTTCAACTCACACCTGCCAATTTCCTGTGTTCCTATCAGGTGAGGTATTTCAGCGACAGCTTTGTCTGTTTTGTTTTACTTTTCCTGCCATTTAAAAAAAAAACACAGTTGCGTTTTACTGCGTGTGCACTTACACTTCCTCAGCGCAGCCACATTGAGCAGGCCAGGGGCATTTTCCCAGAACTCTAGTGAGGATACATGTGTCACCTCAACTCTCCTGAAAGTCCTTGAACCCATCGCACTCCTGACCGCTTGTTCCACAAAAATGGCATGTCTTTGCCTGAGGAAGGGGATCCTGCGAGACCCCGAAACGTTACATCAGTGTGATATGCTGCACCCACATCAATAAATAGTCGTTTTGGAGTGCCACTGTCCCAACTCTCCTCCCACCCTTATTTCATAGAGCTGTGAGACACCTGCAGCATTAAGCTGACACAGACTCTGAGGGAAGATGGAGCCGGAGACTAATTCTGTTCTATCTCCTATAGTCTCTGCAATGTAATCCTGCTGTGAGTTGTGACTGTCTTTTTTGCTCCTGATACTAAACACTGGCCAGAGTCATGAGTATTGTAGGAAAAAGTGCTATTTAAAGGTACATTGCCTGTTATATTTATCTACTCCTATGCAGACATCAGATGATGTATCCGCTCTGGTCTCTGTGTTCTACCTGTAATGTAGAAATTACCAAAAGGGCAAACTGATGTTTCTGCTTTGTCTAAAACCGATACAACTTTATTAGTGGCTGCTTTTGAACCGCTTCATATTGGTTTTTCCCCAATTCTCACAAAGTGATTTTTCTGTAGTTATGTTGGTGTTGTCTATCATGGATAGCTAAAAATGGTTTCTCATTCCCCTAACAAGGGTAAGAAACACCTCCAATCTTCCTCTTCCATAGCTTTGGATGAAGAGATGCTGGGCATTCCCAGTTTAGCTGGAGCCATTCCAGTAGATTCTTTATCTGATGATGAATCCTTATGGTCCTTGGAGGAGGGCAATACACCAGCTGCTGACTTTGTCACCTGTGGTGTCACAACATCAGAACTAAAAATTTTAATTGAAACTGTTCAGCTTTAAATTTAGAGGAATCTGTAGTATCTATTTAAACCTGTATGTGTTGATAAAGGTTTTTTTTTTTCCCCTTTTCATCCCATCTTTGACAGATGTATATACTAAGATTTGGAATCTCTGAATATATGGTTTTGGTCACTATCCCTTTTCTAGGTGTTTTTTTTTTTTTTAAATAACTGGTCTGTTCCCCTTGAGGTTGACTTTCCTGTTTCTTGCCTTGATAGGGCTTTGACTAATTCCTATTAATGACACCCTTTCATTTAGAGACCCTACCTATAAGAAGTTGGAAATTTACTCTTGATGGGATAAGCTTTTCTTTCCCGTTAGACCAGGTAGTCCGAGTCTGGAAAATAAGAACCCTGGCTAAGGCACTGAGTGCTCACCCACGTTTTATTGATTGTGTCAATCGGATGAGAGTTGTCTCATTTTGTGTGCAATGCAGTTCTTGATTCCTGTCTAATGTATTATGTTTCTTCATTCAGGGTCAAAGAACCATTTGACTTAAGTGATGGCAGAGTGTTAATGTAAGAAGAGACTTTTATGTTTGCTCTATTTGGAAGACCATCTTTTTCCAATCATCCTCCAGGATGGCAACCTGAGAGATTGACTCCTCTTACAAGAAACACAATTGAGAATAGTTTAAAAATCAATCCCACCCCTCTGTTTAGATTGTTTCCTACCGTCCAGGACTGCGTCACGTTTGTTCTTTTCCTGACCGGCTGGCTGTACGGTTGCAGGTCCCCCTCTGTGCAGCTCTGCTAAAGGTGTTGTCCCCGTGGCCTTGGTTTTCCAGGTTCTCATCCTCCTGGTCTCTGGTGGATGACTCCTGATGCCCCAGGCCTGCAGTCTGGTGTCCCTACTGCAGTGGGGGAAGGTCTGTGGCTTGCTGTGCAGGTGGGACTCGGTGTCAGTGGTGCTGATTGCGGAGCTGTGTGCATTGGTCTGGAGTGCGCAGAGTCATGTCCGGCAGCTGGCGCTGATGTCAATTCCGCTGCACGCGCCTCTGCGTGATTACTGCCGCTGTCACGTACAGTGCCATACACAGGACAGTGTGGGGGAAGAGCCACTGCTGCCAGGATGGAAGAGGTTGACAGGCGCTGCATCCAGGGCCAAAGGCATGGTAAGTGACAGCCATGGATTCTAAAAGCTCTAGGCAGTATTGGTGGTTAGCCTTGGGGGATGAGGAGAATGATCAGCAAATGTTTGCTTACTCTTTGGACTTTTCCTTTATGACACTCTTCTGGAAGAGCGGGACATCAGGCTTCTGTTCCACCGTCAGCTCCTAAGCAAGAAACGCTGTGGCAACTGTAATATTAGGCTTTCTTCTGGTTATCAGAACCTCTGACCTGTACATTTAATAAGTTTGTTTTTGGTGAATCTTCTAATCTTATGAAGGGTTTTTTTTTTGTTTTTGAGAGAGAATGAGAACTGCAATGGTGGCTACAGTACAGACTTTTAAACGTGTAATTTCTAAATTGTTGCCTTCCTCTGCTCTGATAGTGGCAAGTCCTTCAGGTTTGCAGTATAAGTCAGTATCTTTACCTGAGGAGAAAAGGGGTCTGTTTCTGATAGTTCTTAGGACGAAGGGGAAGTGCTGGATGAGGATGTAGAATGTCATCCCTCAAGACATCTTTTTCCGTTAGAGGAGGAGGATTATCTTTTGCAGGTGATTTATGCTACTAAACAAATTCCAGAGCTGTGACAATGCAGGCTAGAGTGTATAGAGTTTTTCCTATTCACCAGTTGCTTAAAGATTTAGTTTCTGGGGAATGGAAGGAGCCAGAGTGCAAGTTTTTGTCTTTTAGTCATTAAAAAAGGAAATTTCCCTTTAGCAAGGAGGATGAAGAGATATTTTACGTGTCCCAGATTGGATACTGCTACAAACAAAAAAAAAAAAAGAGGCTGATCTTTTCTTTGCAGATACTGGAAACATTAAAGATCAGATAGACCGGAAGGTGGAAGCTTTGCTACAGAGGGCCTTGGATGCTAATGCTGCCTCCATGTCTCCAGCGGTAGTGGCCACTTGTGTAGCTAGGAATATGGATTTGTCGCTGGTAAGGGTGTCTCCATCTTTCTTGGGGATGCTCTGGCAGTGCAGTTTTTAGAGTCTTTATCAGTAATTGGTAAGGCAGTAGCCTATTTGGCTGATGCTTCAGCAGAGTCGGTTAGGGCCTTTGCCAGGTCAGGGGCTCCTAGCTCTGCCAGGCGTGCTATTTGGTTGAGGTCCTAGGATGGTGATTTATCTTCCAAATCTAGACTTTATGGCATACCTTTTCAAGGGAATTTTTTGTTCGGTTCTGGCCTAGATAATGTTTTGGCCAGATTTTTGGGAAAAGGTGCTAATATTTCCAGAAAAAGATTTTGCAACTGACATTTTTTTCATCCCTCACGGGAACAAAAGAAGCAGAGCAATAAGTCCCAGACTCCTACAAAGGGCTGTCCATTCAATCAAGAAAAAATTAGAGGAGGGTTGCTCTTTAATACTCCGGAGCCCTTCAATAAAGATTCTAAATGAAGCCAAAAAAAAAGTGGGGGGAGACTTTTATGTCCAATGGGAAAGAATCACAGAGAGTCAGTACGTTCTGGATCTATTAAGAATAGGTATCCTATGGAATGGAATTCCTTTTGGTACCTCCTCCAGACCTTTTTTCTAACTAAACTTCTGAAGGATGGGGAAATCTCTCTTGCCTTGCAGGACTCTAGTTGCTTTCATCCCAGAATGTGATCGTTCCAGTTCCAGAGAGTCAGCTGTTTCAGGGATTTTATTCCCATGCGTTTCTAGTCCCCAAGCCTGGGGGGAGAT